CGAGCCTCCCCGCGCCGCCCCGGGACCGCACCCCGACGGCGCCCGAGGCCCCGGGCCGCGAGGCCGCGCCGCAGCCCAACGTGGTGTACGTCACCCTGCGCGCCCCGCGCGGCCGGCCGGCCCGCATCCGCGGCACGCCCAGGCCCAAGCGCAGGCGCAAGTCGGCAGCGCGCGGCTTTCTCCCGCTCGGGGCGGCCCCGGGGCCCGGCTTCCTCCCGCTGCCGCGAGCCGCGCACAGCAACGTCCGGCTGTACAGCGAGCGCGCCCCCGCGTGGCTGAGCGGGGACGACATCCGCAGCCTGCGCCTGCTGGCCGACGGCGCAGCGTCCCGCCTGCAGCCCTCGACTCGCGGGGCGCCCCTGCTGGTGCTGGGCGACCACGCCGCCGGGCCCCCGCCCCGCTGCGGCCCCAGCCCCTGCGCGCTGCTCAGGCCAGCCCTGGACTCCAGCGAGGTGTTCGCCTTCCACCTGGACCGCATCCTGGGGCTCAATCGCACGCTGCCCTCGGTGAGCCGGAAGTCGGAGTCCGCCCAAGGTAAGGCGCCCAGGGTCGCGCTGGGGACGCTCCGGGCTCCCCTCTGCCCCCTTCACTCTCTGAATGCCAGGCAGCGAGGCCAGGATCCCGCTGACAGCCAGGCCTGGCGCTCCAGGTTACCCAGCGAGTGGAAGCTCCTTCTCCGAAGTTTCCAGAAGAAGGAGGTGAATTATCTTCCTTCAGCACATGGAGTCTTTTTAAGGGGCCGGGAGCCAGCACCCGTGAGACCCAGCCTGTCCTCCGGTTGTGCCTCCCAGCAGATGTAACCTCTCAGGCCGGTTGAGGCGAATGACGCCGAGGAGGACACTGCTGGTGTGCACGGCCCTGTGAGTCCCTCGGATTCACGACGCTGGTTCATGGGCCCAAGGTCCAAGAGTCCGTGTTCTTGGGGGACAGATGGCCAGGGAGCGTAGGGTCTGCCGCCGGCGGCTGTGCCCACGCCCTGCACACAGGAGAGTCTCTCAATATCCCCGTACATCAGTCAGCGGCTCTTCTTTGAGTGCAGAAAGATCCCAGAAGTTACAGCTGAGGATCCAAGATGGTCCAAGGGGCTAAAGAGGACCTCAAAGAGCTTGGCAACTCCAAAGATACTTCTTGTGGCCGAGAAACCCTCCCAGAGCCCAGGAAATTTAGCATTTCAGTGAGGTTCTCAGGAGGCCGGGAAGGGAATGGATTGAACCCTCTTGGGAGTAGATGAGAATTGAGCCAGTTTTCCGTTGGCTTTGGGATTAGAATTTAGTTTTAGAGTGGATCGTCTTTAGTGTCAGTGACGTGCTTATGGGTTCCCGTCTAAGTGCTCCAGTCTCACAATGTCTTTTGAAGTTTGTACTCTACCGGGGGATTACAGCAGCGCCAATTAGATCAAACATTTAATGTGAGAGAAAACGAAATCTTACTGAGGCTTACTATTTACGAGGCACCATACTAGTGGACTCACATGGGCACGGACTCCTGTAAGTCTCATGATGATGCTCCTGGGTCAGGTATTACTCTTATTCCCAGTTTAAAATTCGAGACTTATTCAGGCAAAGCAATTGGCCTCAACCCCACACCAAGTGTATGGCTCAGGAGGGTTCTGAATGTAGGCCCAGCAAACTTCAGAACATAACTTCTCAACCTTGGACCTGAGTGAGTATGTCACGCACCACGTAAATTAAAACTCGCAGGTGTCAAAGAGCAGCCCAGTGGGCACTGGAATGAGAGGAGTGGTTTGAGGCTGTCCCGGGCGTGCGGGTCATAGGATCCCCTTTGCTGTGCTCTTTGGCCGGTCGTGCTCCTGCCTGAAGTCGCAGCGAAGAGAAGGTGAACTCCCAGATCTATCCTGAGGGGGCATGCGCGTGTCCTCTGAGCTTCCTTAGGGTGCTCCTGAATGGAAGTTGGGAGAAATAAAGCTCTCGCCGAGGTCTCCCAGAGTTTCAACCATCTGACCTGAAATGTTGCATGTCTCTCTCTCTGCCTCAGTTTCCTCAGCTGTGAAATGACATTAACAGTGGGTCATTGTTAATTTGTACAAGGGAAGCACGTAATTCTTGGCATGAAGTAAACCTTTGGTATGCATTGGCCATTACTGTCACACCTGAAGTTCTAAGTTTATTTAGTTGTTTGCAAACGCTTCGAACCTCAAAGATCGTTTAAGTGAAAAGTTTAAAACTGAAACCCTGATCTCCTGACTGCTTAATTAAGCTTTTTATTGCCAGGATTCTTCTGAGATATATTTATATCTGGGCTCTGACTTTTCAGCATCTTTGAGAATGATGATGCAATTTGAAGCAGACATTGACCATTCCAGTATGGCCTGAGTGTTCTCTTTCCGTTCATACCTAAGTATCGATGGGAAGAAGTCAGTCGAGCCACAGTGATGTGACTGAATTTGATGAATTACATTCCTGAGATTATATCTCCAACAATCCCAGACCTTCGCTTGTTCTCTGATCCCTTTGCACACTTAGCTGTTTAAAGACATGCCAGTTTCCTCAGGAGCCTATGAAATGATTTACACAAAGTCGTAAACACTCTACACAGCATAATCCTACGCGTGCTGGCTGTTGTAGTGATGCAAAGGGCATAAAAGCCCGGTTCTGGTTGTAGCACACACAGGAAGTCTTACATTCTCAGTCTTTCTCTCCACCTACCTTCTTCTAGTCTTTCTCCTGTATCTTTTATCTTCCGACTTCGACAGAAGTGTGAATCCACCTTTTAAGGACCTCCTGTTCTTCCTTCTTTTGTTCACGCTTAGCTGCACTTGAGCCTGTCTGTCCACCCAAGGAAGTGACAGATCTCCTAGTTGCCCAGCGCCTATTTCTGCGTCCTGCATTATCATTTAATGCAGTGCATGTTTGTCTTATAATTGTTGCTTATGCATCTTCTTTTTCTCTCTAGATCTATCGATGGAGACATAATTCTTGTTTTCTTGGTTTCTTTTGTTACTAGGGATTCAAACTGGGGCCTTCACACTGAGCTACATCCCCAGATCTCTTTATTTTTTATTTTGAGTCAGGGTCTCACTGAGTCACTAAGTTGTCTAGGCAGGGCTCAAACTTACGATCCTCCTGCCCCAGCCTCCCAGAGTGCTGGGGCTACACATGTGTGCCACTGTGCCCAGCTAATTTCTGTATAGTTTATCGCAGTATTTTTGGATCTTAGTGGAAAGTCTGGTGCATAATAGGTGCTCAATAGATATTTTGAATGAATGGAAGAATGCATTGTTCCACTGACCCTAAATAGTAAATCTATATTTGCCCCCAATCTCCTTGATAAGTAGTACCATTTAAAAAAAAATCTTCCAGGCTAGGATTTCTGCTGGAGGATCTCACAAAGAATTCATCGTGGCTGGGTGAGGTGGCGCACACCTGTGATCCCAGCACTCAAAAGGCTGAGGCAGGAGGATTGCCATGAGTTTGAGGCCAGCCTAGGATCCATAGTGAGTTCAAGGTCAGTCTGAACCACGTAGTGAGACCCTGACTCCAAACAAAAAAACCAGAAAACAAAGAGTAGGTGATAAAGAGAAGGTAATAAAAAGAGTCTTTTGTGTCCTCCTGATAACGCAAGTACTGTAATAAAGTTTATAGGGCTGGGGCCAGGGATTTAGCTCAGTGGTTTTGCCACCTGCTACACAAGCACAAAGACCCGAGTTCGATCCCTGGTACCAAAAAAAACAAAAAAAGTTTATAGGGCTTGTGATGGTGAGTCACTATCGCTACGGTCTGTTTGTGTCATACTGCAGTATAATGAGAAAATGGGCTTTCTGAAGGTACAAGAGTGGGACTTAGCTTAGGTGTACCTTTCTCTGACGCCCTGGCTTGGTCAAGGAGGATACCTTTGCATATCGGTGAGAGTGAGCAAATCCTGTAACTAATCTCCCTAAATATTGTTTCTGTTCTCTGATGTTTAATTCATGTTTATGAAAATAAATTCATGTTTAGTGCAGAGAAAACAGCCAGCTATACTGCATGTTGAATTTGGGTCCTCCCAGTTCATCTTTCCAAGCATCCCCTGCAGTAGACGGTTTTACACCTCAGCTGCTCGAGGTTATTCGAGGCGTATGAGGTCTTGTGCCCATCAAGAATTCAACTGGTCTCTCTCTCTCTCTCCCTCTTTTCCTGATTTCCAAGTCTTTCCTCTTTTTATCAGTCTGCTTCCCTCAACACACCCTCAAAGGGGCCACCAGCATGTCTCCTTTTCCCATTGTCACAGCTCTCTGGTACACCTAGTTCTTTAACACGTGAATACAATACAGGCTACAGCCACTGTCTTTCCAATGAGGCGGTAACTTTGACTACAGCAGCGAGTCACTGAACATTACCATGTGCCAGGCACTGTTCTGTTCTAAGAGCTGAGCTTCCGTTATCTCATTAAATCCTAGGAAGGGGACCCAGGTATCAGCCCTGGGGATTCTGGACAGCAAAACGAGGCCCTGAGTAAACACCTTGCTCAAGTCCTACAGACTGTCGGGACAGAAAAAGGATTGTGAAAGGCAGAGGGAGATGAAAGGGGAGCCCGATGCTGGAGTAAGGTTTGCTGCCCTCAGCCTCTCAGGATCCCGATGATGGATGCTTCTTGGCTCACAGTGGGTTATGCTTTGATCACTAAATATTCGAAGCTGAAACTGCACTTAAGGCACCCACCCTCCTGAGCACCACCCCTCACCTGACCTGTCTTCAGCATGACCAGGGAGCCCACACGAGCACTTACATGCACCTGCCATACACGCACACAGGAGCATGTTTACAGGACGTGGCGGCATGAAAAATACCCAACTCAGTGTCCAAATGCACCCGTGACATGGGACACTGGAGGGCATCGGTCGCAGAAGATATCAAAGCTCAAATCCAAAATACGGTTTCTGCTGAGTGCTTTTGCACTGTCCTGAAGTTGAAAAGTTGAAAGTTGAACCATAGTAAATCAGGGTGGTTGGCGTACAGCCCACCCTCTGGGTCCTTAAATCGGTAGGGCTGATGTGGGTGACCACATCACACCCGGGGACAAGTGCTTGGCTGCACAATGGTGAGTTCTACATGTTTTCCCTAAATACAAGAAGATGTAGTTGAATTGGGCGGACTTACCAGGATTGCTGTGTTCACCAGACCACTTGCCCACAGGTGTTAGGGTCCAAAGAGATCCCAGAAAACAAGAAGGGTGTACTTGGGGAAGGGCAGGGTCATAGATGGGGAGGACAGTGGTGCAGCACAACACAACACCACACAACACAATCCAGCAACTATCACTGCACATTCACAGCCTCTGCATAAGTGGGAAGAACAAACATGAAAGTAAACATCAAGGGTCCTTTATAAAAAAAATCATTTTGTAGAAAGATGCAACTGTGAATCTGTGCCTGTCCACATTTGGCATCTGTTCACTCTATTCCTTAACAGTTCTATACAGCAGATACCACTGTTACTGTAAATAGGGGTCCTGAGGCTCGGGAGGTAATGGAATTTTCCCTAAGTCACCCACTAATGAGCTGAGGAACTGCCCGAGTACCTCTGCGTGCTTCTGTT